AAACAGAAACCCCCCCCCCCCCCCATTTTTATCCAAAAAAGCTTGAGTGGAGCCCACCATTCCCACAAAAAGTAAAGATTCTCGGTCTCACGTGCTAGCTAATGTGTTATCTCGGACGTTGTTGCTTGTTTCGGCTCCAAATCACAAAATCTTCGACTTTCTAAAAACCTTAAATCGAGGTATTTCGACTTAGTTTTTGTTAAAACTTGTATAAAAAAATGCATATTAATTATTTTTTATATGTTATATATATATTATTTTGTGATTGTTTTGCGATTTAACTAACTTATTGCTTTTTATCCGGACTATAGTATTAGTGTGTTAAAAATATTTGTAAAATAGAGAAATTGTTATTAGTTGTTAATTTTTTTTAATTAGTTACTTTTTACTGTAGTATATGCAATTTCATGATTATTTTATGATTAAATTAATTTATTATTTTTATCCGGTTAAGATTATTAATTTACTAAAAGACTAGTAAACTAAACAAATTTTTACTTTGGTTTCCTGTAGTGGTATCTTGTGGTCTAATGTAGTGCTCGTATTTAATGTAGTGACCTTTTAGGTAGTAAAATATAGTGTCATTTAGCGTAGTATCCTTGTAGTTATAGAAATTAATATTTAAGTATATATTATTCCAAAAAATATGTCAAAAAGCTGATAGTTCAAACACAAACTATCTCCAATTATAGTCAACAAATGTAAGAATATAAGAATTCAAGATACATTGGTACTACCGGGCCTCAAATATTGTGCCCGAAACCAAAATGCAAATATTTAATAGTTAAATCTTGTATAGGTATGAAAATTAATTATTTAATTTTAGTATAGTAAAAATTAAGTTAGTAACAAACAAATAAACATATAAATTAATAAACCTAACATATTTGTAACGACCTGACCGGTCGTTTTGACCTCTAGCACGTCTTTCAGCAGTTTGAGGCCATGAGCAGCTTCACTTCAGGTATTATGACATGTACGCACGGTCGGAATTGAATTCCGGGAAGTTCGGAGTTGATTTGGAAAGAGAATTCTCATTTCGGAAGCTTTGAGTTGAAAGAATTAGCTAAGATTGGATTTTTGAGTAAACAATCTCAGAATCGGGATTCCAAGGTTCCAGCAGGTTCGTATGATGATTTCGGACTTGGGCGTATGTTCGAATCGGGTTTTGGATGACCCGGGAGCGATTTGGCACCTATTGTGGAAGTTAGCATTTTGGAAGAAATTTCATAAGTTTGGGTTGAAGTGCATTTCGGTGTAATCGATGTCCGTTTGGAATTCTGAGTCTGGGAGTAGCTCCGTATGGTGATTCTGGAATTGAGAGCGCGATCGGAAGTGAATTCAGAGGTCCGTGAGTTATTTTGGAGTCATTTGGCTAAAGATAGAAATTTTAAGGTTTTTGAGAAGTTTGACCGAGAGTTGACTTTTTGATATCAGGGTCGGATTTCGATTCCGAAAGTTGGAGCATGTACGTAATGTCGAATATGACTTGCATGCAGAATTTGAGGTCAATCGGACGTGATTTGATAGGTTTAAACCTCGGAAGTAGAAGTTTGAAATTCTAAAGTTCATAAAGCTTGGATTGGAGGTCGATTCGTGGTTTTAGGGTGGTTTGATATGGTTTGAGGCCTCGAGCAAGTCTGTACTGTGTTTTAGGTCTGGTTGGTATGATTGGTTGGGGTCCCGGGGGCCTCAGGTGGATTCCGGGTGGTTAACGGAATGAAGATGGAACTTGGAGAAGTGCTGAAGCATCTGCTTCTGTCATAACCGCACCTGCGGTTGGTCGACCGCAGGTGCGAGACCGCAGAAGCGGTCGTAGCCTCGCAGATGCGGCCCAGAGCTGGCTAGGCCAAACCGTAGAAGCGGCTCCTTAGCCGCATAAGTGGCTTCGCAGATGCGGCTTCAAGACTACAAAAGCGGTCCCATCCCTTTTAGCCAATTCCGCAGATGCGGGACCGCAGATGCGGAAACTGCTGAAGCAGTCAGCTTCATTTAAGTCGAGCCCCAGCCAATTTTGACCATTTGGCACTCGGGTATTGAGCGATTTTGGAGCTCTTGAGAGGGGATTTCCACATAGCATCGTGAGGTAAGTTTATCCCCCTTATTTCTAAGTTTAACACTCAAGTTTTGGGTAGATTAACACCTAAAGATTTGGAGAAATCAAGGGGTTAGAGCTAGACCTAGGGTTTTAATAAAACTTAGATTTTACCACAAAATTGGTTATGAAATGGATTAGAAATCAT